AAGTTCTAAAGTTGAGGGACTAAAGTTGACATTTAACCTTTGCTAATTTGTGTTTCGAAAAAATCTTCCCTCCCCCCTGCTTTGCTAGTTGTCGGAGCTGAGCTGAGAAACTATTCTCGGATTTTTTTTTCTTTTTTGGTATGTGAAAATTGTTTCTTTCCTTTCCTTCCCTCGTTATCTTTATTTATCTTTTTTCTTTCTTTCTTTCATTTTTTTTTTTTGAAAAGATTTTTGCTAAATTTGAAATTGCAGTCGCAGGGTAAGCAAGATTAAGAAGCCCTTAGTCCAAAACGATGTCATTTTGGGCTAGGGAATCCTTCTTTTTTTTTTTTTTTATTAATTTGCCATAGTGGGTATTGGCTGAAATTTCGGTGTAATGGCCGAAATTTCAACCAGTACACTGGATTTTGACTGGATCACCCAGATTTTGACTGAAACAGATTTTCATATTATATCGTTTTGGCCAATGTAGAAAATTGGTACGATACGAAATTGGTAACTTTAGTCGGGTCACCAGAAATGACCTGAACTTTTTTTATTCATTTTTTTATTAAATTACTTAAAAATTAATTTTTAATTTTTAATTTCTTAATCTTAAAAATAGAAATAAATAAAATACTTAAATCCTAAACTCTCATCAATTTCACTTTCTCTCACCTTTTCCTTTTCTCCACTCTCACTTTCGCCTTCTTCATCTCAAGCTATCTAATTCTTCTCTTTGGTGACACTCGCATAAGAAATTAGATTAGGTGGCACATAATGAGTTATGTTATATGGCATCATAAAAAAGATCATTTTTTAAAAATAAAAGGCAAGAATGCCTACTGAAAATCAAAACCCAGTGGTTAAAGTACCCTTATAACCATTAGAAGTACAAAGACAAGAACATCAAAGTCCGTTCTTAGTTGCTAATTTGTTCTTAATTAATAATTTGTTCTTGTTGACTCAATGTACTCTAAGAGAGGGTGAATTGGAGTTTAAAAATTTTCACCTTTTTGCAACCACCAAACAAAAATCAAAGAGAGAGTGAGGAAGAAGAGCTTGCATAATGATTTTATAAAGGTTTGGTTTAACCACTTGAAACCTAGTCCTCTACCTTGGCTTCACTCACCAAGGATTTCCTTCACACTCTCCACTAACAAAATCAATGGTGGCTTAAAGGAGCCACTCAATCCTTTTACAAGAAGATGAGTATTTTTCTCAAATCTCACCCCTTTACAAGATAAACCCAAACAATCCTCTCTGCAAATCACTCTTAAAGGAATAATCACACCCCCAAGATCACTCACAAATAGAACAGGAAGAGGATTACAAATAATGATCTCTCAAAAATCAAAATCTCAAGTTAAAGCACAAGTTGGTAAGTAAAGATATTCAATACAATGCTGTCTAAACTTGTTCTAGGTTTGATACCAACCATATTTATAGCCTCATGGTCGAAAATAGCCGTTACGAGCTGTTGGGGGTCATTTAACGCTCTGCAAGTCACTTAATTCGAGTTGCAGAATTGTCAGCACAGTCGGATTACACTTCTAGAGCCTGCTCTTTACAGCCGGCTTAACTTTTCTGCAGCTGGCTTTACGGGTTTCCTACATTCTGTTTTCTCCATAGAGCAAACTTAAAAATTCTGCAATTGGCTTTATAGGTTTTCAGCACATTCTGTTTTCTTATATAGTTGGCTGCAAAGCCTAAAGCTAGCTTTGGGATTCCAAATTTAAAAACATTAAATAATCTTGAAATGACTCGACCGTTGTGCATTAAATGCACCCTCATAGTCGGCTGTAAAGTCAAAGCCAGCTTTCCATTTGTTTTCTACGCATGCCAAACAACGGACTTGAAAGTTTTACTCGTAGAGCCGGCTGCAACTTTCGGAGTCAGCTCTTTACACTTCCACAGCCAGCTGCAAGTTTCAACAATCGACTCTCTGCACATTTTCAAGCCTTTTAATCCTTTTTAGTGTAGTCCAAGTTTACTTACTTTGCAATTTTTTGACATTTTAACTACACACTTAAATGAACCAATTAGTCACTCAAATGTGTTTTGTAATCATCAAAATCATAGGTACAACAGTTCCTAATTAATAAAAATCAATTTTGATCTAATTTTTTCTTATATTTGGTTAGACATATTTTGGATTTGCCTTTTAAATTTTAATATTAAATAAGACTATATTTTTTTGTATAATACCCTCTTAAATATTGAATAGAGCTGTATTTTTTGTATAATACTTTTATAAATATTGAATAGGCACT